TATTCTGATTATACTGAGGCTGTCTATGTAAAATTCTTTCTATTATATTTGTACTTATATTAGAAGTACTATGTCTACCTCTATCATAGGGTTCTGAAGATGATCCTACTTCTCTAATAGTTCTTGATCTACCAGAAAAATTATTCATATTTTATAAAATATTGTAGATAATTTTCTAGTTATTTTTTCTTTACCTGTATTTTTTAAACTTAATCTGTCTAGATTATTTATTATATTTTCAATTTCTTGATTTGGTTTATTTTCTATATTATTTAATTTTTTATTTATATTTTCTATTGCTTCTGTAGTCTTAAGATCTGGAAATTTTTCTTTATCTTCTACTCTAGAAATTTTGTTTAAAATTGTTAAATTTTGTTCTTTAATAAAATCTAGGTTTTCACGAATTTTATTAATATCTTTCTCAATATTAAAGATTCTTTTTCCCAAAATACTAAATTCTCCAGTTAATTTATTAATTTCTTTTATTAAAAGATCCAGTTTTAAAACTCTAATCTGAATAATAAAAAGAATCTAATGAAAAATTTGTATGATCTGATAAATAATTATTATCTATATTATCTAATTCAATCCTTAATTTTAAATCTGATATAAATATCTGATCAAAACTATTTATAAAATATTCTTCTCTAAATTCTGAAATTAAAGATTTATATAAAATCTGTTCTTTTAATTCTAGTTGTAAATTTTTTGTCACTTGTAATATAGCAAATAAATAGTCTATAGATTTATATTTTTCAAAAGAAATTAATTCTATACCGTATTCAAAAATCTCTTCTATTTCTTTATAAAATGTAAAACTATAGAATATTTTTTTCTAGATCTACAAATAAAATTCTAAAAATCATAAAACAAGTAAGTAAATTCTAAAGATTAAAAGAGTTATACCTTTTATACAATCTGAAGAAATATACTGAAATCACCAGCACCGGAACAAAAGCTCTAATACCAAAGAAGGGGGGTCCCTGAAAAAGGTTATTTCAAGGATTTGAAGGTTGTTGTAGAGGGTTGTTAAAACAAATTATGAAAAATTCTACTCAGTACTCTTCTTAATTTAGATGTCTTTTTCTTTTGATATATATATTTTTTTTTTTCAATTTGTCTCTCATTTTTCCATCTACAAATATTAGTAGTATGGTTAAAAATTTTTTTTTTTCTATTAATTATATTTATTTCCATTTATCTTTTTCACTCTCCTATTGTTTATCTCTATTTTTTATGAAAAAATTAAATTGGATTCTTATAGCTTTTTCTTTTCATCATTTTTTTTTTGTGAAAAATATCTATTTTTTATTAAATTATAAAAATTTATATGAAAAATTTATAATTAAATTTAAATATATTGATTTTTATTTATTTTAAAAGTATATTATATTAATAATATCGAATATTAAATTTATTGTTCATATATATATAATTTTATAATTATTATTTATTTAATTAAGGTTTTAAATTTTTGTTCCTTTCAATTTTTTTATTAAATGGGAAGAAGAAAAGGAAGGAAAATGAGAATTGTCAGAACCTACACCTTATATGTAAGAATTTTATACCATTTTACTATATACACGTTAATTCTATTTCAAATGAAAAAATTTTAAAATTTTTTAAATTCTACAAAAATTTATAAAAATTTAAAAATAAAAGTCCATCAAAGAATTCCACTAATTTCATACAAAATTGAACGATCATCAAGAAATTCACATAAATCATCACTAAAAATGTCTATCAAAATCTTCAAAAGTTTCAATTGATATTATCTAAAATTGGCTGATCATCAAGAAATAAAATAAAATTTGATGGGGTGAAATAAAATAAACTGATTATGATGATAACGTTGGTAGGCCGTTGATGGATTTAACCAATGATGAAATTCTAACAGAATGTTCGCTCTCTCGCGCTAGTGCTCGTTCGCTCTCCTCTCTCAAGCCCTAATTAGTAGCTTTTGCCACTATCCTTGCATCCAATTCTTCCCGATCCGCTTCTTCTTGTATCAATTAGGGATTTAATTACCAATTTCTCTCATAAGTCGCAACAGGAGATTAATATTTTGACACTCCACTCAAAATCGGTTTGTTCGTTGAAGTCGGGAATTGGTGGAGTACCGAAAAGAAAACGGAAAGAGAAGGGAGAGCTCTTTCATTGACTGATTGTTGATTGATGGAGGGGAATTCTGGCGGTGGCGGTGGCGGTGGCGGAGGGAATGACGTGGAGTTGCTGTGCAAAACTTTGCAGGTGGAACACAAGCTATTCTACTTCGACCTGAAGGAGAATCCCCGTGGACGATACCTTAAGATCTCCGAGAAGACTTCAGCCACCAGGTCCACCATCATAGTCCCCTCCAACGGCATCTCCTGGTTCCTTGATCTCTTCAATTACTATGCCAATTCCGATGACCCAGAAGTTTTTAGCAAAGAACTTCAGCTCGACACTAAGGCACCTATACAAATTACAAATACATATACACCCCCACACATTGTATTTCTTCTTTATGTTTTTCTGGGGTATGAACTTGCAGGTTTTTTATTTTGACGTTGGAGAGAATAGAAGGGGACGCTTTCTCAAGGTTATTTGCTTCTTTTTCCCATTTACTGTCGAGTTTCTTCATGCTCCTGTATTTGCATGCGCCCATCACTGCCTAATTTTATCTTACATAATCGATTGCTATTTTTGTTAATTTAGGAGTTTTCACAGGTTATTGCCTATCTCGATACTCTGTATTAACATGGGCGCTATAGTTGGAATGGGTCGCCCTGGTCCCAACCTGAAACCAAAACCAAAACTGACCAACTGGATTTGGTCAAATTTCAAACCAAACTGATCCAATCCTTTGGTCGGTTAGAACAAATAATATACCATTGGAATTCAAAAAGAAAGAAAAAGAAAAAGAAAAAGATAAATGGAGTGTAATTCGGAGTTGTTGATCAATATTATGCGTGTTTGAAGTTAGGCAGTCAGGCAATCTCAAGATTTCCACAATTTGTCCAGCATGCTTGACTTTTGCATAGGAAATTCGAGATTTGTCTAGTAAACTCAATATTTGTCCAACAAATTCGAGCTCTGTTCAGAACAAGCTTGAGATTTCTGGGAAACCTTGAGTTTGTTGGGTAAACCTCTAGTTTTCTATACAAGAGTTGAGAATACTAAGCAAACATCAAGTTTGCTAGACGAAAATCTTGAGTTTGCTCATTGCGGGTTAGGTCAGTTTGGGTCATTCCAAGTTGATGGTAGAATCATGAGCCGACCCACCTAATTTACTCCTAAAACTTCCGGACCCAAGCCGAGAAGCTAGTAGAAACTGACCCAAGTTGGTTCAGGTCGGGTCTTTTGGTGGTTAAAATGCCCAGGCCTAATGGGGCGCTAGAGGGTTTTTTGGTATCTCTCTGCTATTGGTTTTTGAATGATCTAGATTTTCCATTAATTGCATTTTTGAGAGAGTTGATTTTATTTGGTGTTGGGTGCTATATAATGTGTATGCTTCAGTCGCAGCTATCAACAGCCGTTTTCAATATGTTATTCCACTTCAGTATCTAACGTGAAAAATTCAATTTTTTAATACTAATAAATTCCAAATACTCTCTCATTAGGTAATAACTCTAGAGATTGATTCATTGGTCATATGTTTTTCAGCATTTAATTTACAGTTGAGACTTTTCCTGCATCTTGAGTAGGGCATTGAAATCATTATAGGCCACTAACAATGCTTTCATTTTTTGGTTTTTTTTACACAACCTGTTTCGAGCTTCAGGAAAGAATTTTTGCTAGCAACTTGATATTATTGTAGAGCTTTACCTGATATTCAGCCCCCATTCACTTTCATTTTTTCCCTCTCTTTTATTTTCAACTACACAATTTTCCATAAAATAATATTATACGTAAATTGAAAACTTTTCATTCTTTTTCAACCACACATTCTTCAAAAAAACACTATTCCAAACATTAAAATTTGGAAAAAATGGGGGCCAAATGGTGGCTCAATTTCCTTGAGCAATTCTGAAAAAGCCTCCATAAAATCATTCCATCTGGTAGAATTTAACGCCATCTTTGGTGTTTAATGCTTAAATCATGTCCTTGCTTAAAGATATTTTCTTAAAGTGTCAAAAGTGTTCCACTGCAGTCTGTCAGCATCTTCCAGTCTCTCTGTAAGAGATGCCTCTACACATTCTTTATTGTCCACTATTTAGTAAAGCTGTTGAATTCTATATTGATTCTGGCCGTAGCCAACGCTCATTTTCCTTGCTTTGAAGATTAGTAGATTGTTTCCTCTCATGTCACGAAGACAATTTTTTCTGCCTGTGCATCATACTCTTATTTGTCAATGTTATTCTCCATCGTTCGCCTTGTTTTTATTGTTTCATTCTTCATTCCACGAGTGGTTTCTGGTCCTCTTCCCTTATCAGTAAAAGTTCCTCCTGTGCAATGGGTTTCTCTGTGTTTTCCTTCTAATTAGAAAGCATGGATATTGCTATGTGTTTAGATAATAGAAGATATGAACACTGCAATACGTTAATTATTAAAATTCTCAAGTTACAATCTGCTGGGGATACGGCATGTAGAAGTAAAATATTTAATTTGAAGTATGACATTAAAGTTATGATGCTTACAATCAGCATAAAAAAGAAATTCTAATGACTGTTATTTATTTATTTACTTTTTTTTTAATCTATATAATATCTTGAGCATAATAGATAGAAGAATTAGTTTCCGTATTTTTACGCTGCAATATGCAAAATGATAGATTTCATTTTCTCGTTAATGAAAGAAAAAATGAGTAACAGAAAGGGGAGACACGTTTAAAGATACGTATACTCAAATTGATTAGTCGATTTATCATTTAAAATTAGATGATGCTGTATTCGTTTAATTATTAATAAGAAATTGTTTGGAAATATGGTACTTCTCCAAGAAATATCAAATCTCTCTTTTTTTTTTTTTTAATTGATATACATACAGTGGCACTTGAAATTAAGAAAGGTTTTACTTTTTTCTCTCTTATTTCCACTTATCCTATCAGGCAAGGAGGGGAATTTGGTCTATTCATGTCTATCAAAGCATTTCATCAGGGACAAGGGAGTTATACACTATCCATGCTTCATATCCCTAACTACCTATAAATACCATTTCAGATTCTTTTGTAATTGTTTTCCTGGCATTGATATGTAATTGTTTTGTAATCGATGGGAGCTGATATTTTTTTACGCATGCTAATGTATGCATTTATTATCGAGCTAACGAGTTATCTAGTAATGACTGCATTTGAATGCCCCAAATTACCAAATTACATAGGCCACCAAATATGTGTATCATAAAGTTTTCCGAATCTCTGATTTTGATTTTAGCTGAAGTTTGACTATAGCATAGCAAAGCTCTATTGTATCTAATAGACTCATGCATGCAGGTATCTGAAGCATCTGTTAGCAGAAACCGCAGTACAATCATTATCCCTGCAGGAAGTGCCCGAGATGAAGGATGGGCTGCATTTAGGAATATTTTGGCAGAAATAAATGAAGCATCAAGGCTTTTCGTTCTGCCTAATCAGGTACCTTTTCATCCATTAATATTTGGCTTTTCTAGCTCAACGCATTCTTGAGGTGCCTCAAAAACCAAACCTTTTCTTTTTGTGTGAATACATCAGCAAAACTCGGAACCATCAGAACACCTTGTTGGACTTTCAGATGATGTTGGGGTGGGCTTTATATCCAGTCACAGTTCTCAACCTATTCCAGCAACTGACTTGAATGTGGATCGGTCTGCCGATTTACCACCACCAGAAGAAATCAATAACATGGGAGTCTCCAAAGTGATACGGGCTGATCAAAAGAGATTTTTCTTCGACCTTGGGAGCAACAACAGAGGCCATTTCTTGAGAATATCAGAGGTATTGCTCAGTGGTCCGCATTGATAGACAACTGGGATTGGTTTGCAAAATTTTTCCATGTTTAGTGTTTTAAGAATGTCACTGAATTGCAGGTCGCAGGTTCAGATCGCTCCTCCATCATTCTCCCAATGTCAGGATTGAAGCAGTTTTATGAAATGGTGGGTCATTTTGTGGAGATCACAAAAGATCGAATTGAAGGGATGACTGGTGCAAACGTTCGGACTGTGGAACCCCCTCAGAGATGAATCTGGATGACACATTTGTTGGGTAATAAACACAGCCGTTGGGTCCGAAATATATAATGCGATGTGTTGCAGTTGATTGGGATGGAGTTGCAAGCTTGATGTGTCAGTGTTTCGCCTTATTTGTGTTTCGATTGACTCTTAATAAGTTTGATTTCTCTTTCAAATTCAAGTAATCGTGTACTGTTAGCACGCTCGATTTTTATATACGAATAACTCATAAATAAACCAATACGCAATGTTTAAGCGAACGTTTGATTTCCTCTTCTGAAATTCCAGGTGTGTGCTCTGCTGCTATATATACTGCCGGAAAATTGTCCAACTGTATTTTTGGGCTGTCTGTTCTATTGAGTGGATGCTGAACTTCGATTAATGAATGAGATTTGCAGGCTTTGATGAATATGTTTTTGAATTTTAGAATTTTTATGCTCGACTACATTGTTTTAGCGATACTTTTATCGTTGTTCACACTGCCACAAAAACTGGTGTGATAAACGGTGGGATTGTTTGATAGGGTTTTTACTTTTACCTTTTTTAGAGGAAGTTACGTTACAAAATCTTTCTATAAAATCTCATTACTTTGAGAAAATTATTTAAATATTTTCAAAGATAACTTCTTAATTTCGAAAGCAACTTTAGACTTTTAAAGGTCTTGTCAAATAAGCCTTCAGGAGTTGCACATATGAGATTAACACAATGTTTGGACGCTTCTTCGAATGTCATCTTTTCTTACTTCTAAATTTTACCCAAATTTGTTGAATTATATTTTTCTTACTGAATTAGAAATGTAGGGGCTTGCAAAATATTGATAATGTAATTACATGTATAGCCCTTGTTTGAGCTCCTTTTTGGGGAAAAATAGTTTTTTGAATAGTTATTTTTTGGTGATGTGTGGTTAAAATGTAATAAAAAATTTCATTAATGTAAAAATTATTATGTTGAATATGAATTTTGAAAAAATAAATTTTAAAAAAAGGGGTCCAAATAAGGGCATAAATAAGTCCCTATTTGACGCTCATTAAAATTATAATTCGTTTTTCTCATTTTCTTATCAACAAACACTCTCCAGTAAAATAATGTTACACATAATCTCAATTTTTTTTTAAACACACATTCTTCAACAATTGCTATTTCAAAATATATTTTTCCAAACCTGGCAAGGACTAAATAAAACATATTACTCCAAGAAAAATGTGAGTCTGTGTTTTTGCCTCATGCACCATTTCAAAAAAGGGTAATTAGCACATAAGGTCCATATCTCTCAATATTATTATGCAAACGTCATTATTTTTTGACATTTTCGTCCTAATTATACCTTTAATTTTGCAAATCAATTTTTATCTTAGTTGTCCAAAAAAAATCAATTTGACCTTATTTTAAAGATAATGATAATTTTAAAAGAGAGAATATAATTTTATAAATTTCGAATAAAATAATCAAAAAATTAAATAAAAAACAAAATAAGGAAACAAAACAAAATTGAGAAATTGTTCATCTTTCTTCCCCATACCGTCCCACCCCTCACCCGACGCCATCCGAAAGCCACAACACTTCATGACCAGCATTCACGGCTGCCACACGGCTGAAATTCCAAATTCTTCCCACACACACTTCGCCAACATTTCATCCCATGGAACCTTCCATTGATAGCAGGTGACTAGACCACAAATTAAGGTGACCCATTTGTGCACAGTCCACTTCCTCGAAGAAAAAATCTACAATATATTGGTCCGATTTTCCTACATTGCTCGATCCCCTCAATTGTGGGTTGTTGGTGGCTTTTATTCCAAGTTTGGGCTATGGATTTTTGTTGATTTACAATTGCTTCGTTGAGGACGAGAGCTGTATTTTTTTAATTCAAATCAGAGAGATGAGTTCCTTCTTGTGGCGAGACCTCCAATTGCATCGTCCGGGAAGAGACCACCAATTTATCAATCTTTCTTTACCGGTGATGTGGTCACTTTTTGCATATCCTTGAGGTATTCTTCACGGAGACTCAACGTGACTGCTCATCACGTTGGTCATAGAGTCCTCGGGTTAAGGGGGTTATCAAGATGAAATCCCCGAGAACTAGTACCAAGCCTCACGAGATGTGATTGGCAAGGTCCTCGAGAAGAGGTCCTCTTAACGCCCTGAGCATGCAAATGTTTGATTACTTTCCTTCACTTAGTTTGGGGCATTTTCCCGCTTACGTCCAAAAGAAGTCCTACTCATTGAGGACTCTAATATGATTTAAATACCTCAAACTAAGAGTCCTACATCTAGAAGGATTCTATCCCAACTATACTAACTAAATTATGAGTGGTCTTGTAATTGTAGTATGAATAAAGTATCCATTTTAGGTAGGACTTTTTGAGATAAGGATATTCAACTGATTTAGTCTTACAGGGAGTGCACTGCTTAATCCTACTAGGAGTGCACTATATATCTTTATAAATGCAAATGTTTGGATTATTATTCAGGTATAACTTTACATACAATTTCAGTATACATTTTCACATAAATTCCCTCTTTAACTTAAATATCGGAGGGACGACGAGGACACACTTAGTTACCTTTGTTTTTGATACCGAAAGCTTACGATCGTACTCATTCACAGTCCTTGAACTCGAAAAATCAACATGTGCGAATTTTTGGTAACATCAACAGGGTTCCTCTTTCTTTTCACCACCATTTTTCTTCTTTGATTTCCTCTTCGGTTTTTTCTCTAGTTTTCATACAGCTTTTCTCCATCTTTCTGCTCCTTAGACCCAATTGATTAATGCAAAACAGTAAAGCTCGTTTGGGGTAAGTGTTGACCTCCAAAAATGGCTCCTCCACGTGGCCAACTTATAGTTATTCCACGTATTCCTCCCTGCGAAATGAACAAACGGTCAGGTGCACACGGCCGGAACCGACGGTCAAGTTAGGTTTGGGTGGTCGGAACAATGCCCAGGGGCTACACAAATTAATCAATAAAGGGGGAGGATAATATATAAACTTGTTATGGAATGCTATGTATTGAGAGTTTCATTTTTCTTTTTTCTCCTTTGCCTCTTGCCAAACCTTGGGTATTTATAGGTGGTATGAACCGCTGGATGTGGAATTCGTGTGTACATCTGACGGTATGAAGCGTCTGCTCATAGGCGTCAATCAGCCGCGCTTGTAGAGTGGGCGGACAGTTTGTTTCCCCCGAGTTGAATTGACATAAAGTCGATAAGTCACATCAAATAGCCTCATGGAGACGTCAAATCAATTTAAACCTTAGGTGCAGGACAAATCTTAAATTGGCAGCGGATCTTCTAACCGGGGTCCACTTGATCTCGACCTCAGAGGTGAGATATTTTGGCAGATCAGTAGTAGGAATCGATATACCACTTCGGAGAAGTTTCGGGAGGGTCGTTTTCAGGTCGGAGTAAATGGTGCTGCGTAGGGTCTACTTGATCTCGGCCTCCGTGGTGAGATGGCACTTCGGTGTCGAGGGGCGAATAATCGAGGCGTAATAGTGGTCCCCCAAATCCGGGAATGAATATTTATATTATGCGTGGATTTGTTTTCCTGACCAGGCCGCGAGTCATGGGACCTTTTGGGGATCGATTCGTCGCAGCAGCCGAGGTTAGGATAATCAAAAAATTAAATAAAAAACAAAATAAGGAAACAAAACAAAATTGAGAAATTGTTCATCTTTCTTCCCCATACCGTCCCACTCCTCACCCGACGCCATCCGAAAGCCACAACACTTCATGACCAGCATTCACGGCTGCCGGTAATCCAATTTTATGTGTCTTTTACGTTTCTTTTTGCTGAATTCTTTATAAATTTGATTATTAAAGTCACAGAAAGAGAAAGATAGCGAGCTCAAAATAATTAAGAGAGATATTATAGAGCTTTAATTCAATTTTCTCTAGTAAAAACGACACTACGGTAGAGTAACAGATTTAGATAAAATTGATGTCAATTTGATTAAGTTGATTTTGAACAGAAAATTAGAAATACAAAAATCATATTTTGTGGTTTGAACTAAATTAACTAGTTAACAAATTTATTTAGAAAAAATAAAATAATTTTGCTTATTTAAAATAAATAAATTAAAAAAATTAAGAAGATTCTGTTCTTGGCCTAGAACCACAACCAAACCGTACCCGTTAGTTCTTGATTCAAATACCCGTTCGAGTATTTAATTTGAGAAGAATCGTTGGGTTCGATTCAGTTCGGTTCGGTTCGGGTTCGATTCGGGAGTTTTGTCCAGCCCTACGTGTAAATGTGCTGATTACAAGTACATTTTCGAAAGATTCTTTATTTGAAAATTGAAATGAAGCTCGAGTTACAAAAATGCAAATTAAAGTAGAATATCAAATTTCATTCTAATCGAGCCATATAATCTCATAGACGGTCCTACTCACTCCTTGGCATCTCTAGAGCATTCATCTCGATCACTATTTCATCAGTTGAATTCGATAGCTCCCTCTTTGCCGCAGTAGGATCGATCACTACTCAAGTGAATGCCTCGTCTACCACCCGATTCACTCACAGGAAGTTGTGAATACCCATTGTCACTACAACAACTGCGACTTGCATAGGAAATGAGTAGTTCAGCATACAATCCAAAATTTTCCATCAATTTTTCTAGACTGCGAATGCACATTCTATAACATTCTGACATGATAAGCGTCGGTAGTTAAACCTTTCACATGCATTTCAAAATCTATGCAAATGATATAATATGTTTGATTCTTTGTGGGGTGCCATATACCCTGAACAATGTGCGGATCCTCAGTCAACAAGGTAAATTTGTCGTCGGTGGGCTAAGGGAAGTAAATGTTTGGGCTATGGATAGCCCAAGCTAAGATCCGAGCATCGTGCGTATTGCCAGTTGTCCTAGGTAGCACAAAGGTAAAGCATAAATCAAAGTCGCATGTGGCCAACTTATAGTTATTCCACGTATTCCTCCCTGCGAAATGAACAAACGGTCAGGTGCACACGGCCGGAACCGACGGTCAAGTTAGGTTTGGGTGGTCGGAACAATGCCCAGGGGCTACACAAATTAATCAATAAAGGGGGAGGATAATATATAAACTTGTTATGGAATGCTATGTATTGAGAGTTTCATTTTTCTTTTTTCTCCTTTGCCTCTTGCCAAACCTTGGGTATTTATAGGTGGTATGAACCGCTGGATGTGGAATTCGTGTGTACATCTGACGGTATGAAGCGTCTGCTCATAGGCGTCAATCAGCCGCGCTTGTAGAGTGGGCGGACAGTTTGTTTCCCCCGAGTTGAATTGACATAAAGTCGATAAGTCACATCAAATAGCCTCATGGAGACGTCAAATCAATTTAAACCTTAGGTGCAGGACAAATCTTAAATTGGCAGCGGATCTTCTAACCGGGGTCCACTTGATCTCGACCTCAGAGGTGAGATATTTT